CGTGTCAAGAGGTTCTCGGTCTAAAGAAATACCATCATAAAGAATGGATCTCTATAGAAACACTGGACAAGATCAAAGAAAGGAATAACAAGAAGACAGCAATTAACAACAGCCGAACATGAGCAGAGAAAGTCCAAGCACACGCTGAATACATAGAAGCAAACAAGCAAGTGAAGAGGAGCATTAGAGCCGACAAGAAGAAATACGTTGCAGAACTAGCAACGACGGCAGAAAAAGCTGCTAGAGAAGGAAATATGAAACAGCTTTACGATACAACGAAGAAACTAGCGGGGAAATACAGTAAACCAGAGAGGCCGGTCAAAGACAAAGAAAGAAAGCCAATCACCGAAATTCAACAACAGCGTAACAGATGGGTAGAATACTTCGCGGAACTCCTGAATAGGCCGGCTCCAATGAATCCACCGGACATCGAAGCAGCACACACAGATCTTCCTATAGATATCAATCCACCTACGATGGAAGAAATCAGAATATCCATCAGACAAATCAAGAACAGGAAAGCAGCAGGACCCGACAGAATGCCAGCTGAAGCACTGAAATCAGACATCAAATAAACTACAAGTATGCTTCACCTTCTATTCAAAAAGATTTGGGAGGAGGAAAAAGTGCCGATGGTCTGGAATGAAGGACACCTCATCAAGATTCCAAAGAAAGGAGATCTGAGCAAATGTGAGAACTACAGAGGCATCACACTACTGTCAATACCAGGGAAAGTCCTCAACAGAGTGTAGCTGAACCGGATAAAAGACGCAGTAGACGCTCAACTTCGAGATCAACAAGCTGGATTCCGTAGGGATTGGTTGTGCACAGACCAAATTGAGACACTATGGATTATCATCGAACAATCAGTTGAGTGGAACTCGATTATGAAAAGGCATTTGACAGTGTAGACAGGAGGACAATATGGAAACTTCTTCGACATTACGGAGTTCCTGAGAAGATTGTCAATATTATCCGGAACTCATACGACGGACTACAGTGCAAAGTAGTGCATGGAGGACAGCTGACAGATGCATTCCAAGAAAGGACCTGAGTCAGACAAGGTTGTTTACTCTCCCCCTTCCTCTTTCTTCTGGTGGTCGACTGGATTATGAAGACCTCGACATCTGAGGGAAAACACGGAATACAATGGACAGCTCAGAATCAATTAGACGATTTTGACTTCGCAGGTGACCTAGCCCTCCTATCGCATACACATGAAAAAATGCAGGTGAAGACAGCCAGTGTAGCAGCAGTCTCTGCATCAGTAGGCCTCAACAAACACAAGGGGAAAACCAAGGTCCTCAATATCAAAGCGGAAAACAGCAATCCAATCACTCTTGATGGCAAAACTCTGGAAGATGTAGAATCCTTCACATACCTAGGAAGCATTATCGATCAACAAGGAGGTTCGGATGCAGACTTAAAGGTAGGGATTGGCAAAACAAGGACAGCATTCCTACAATTGAAGAACATATAGAACTCAAAACAACTTCAACCAATATCAAAGTGAGAATTTTCAATGCAAATGTCAAGGCAATTCTACTGTACGGAGCTCAAACTTGGAGAACTACAAAAACCATCATCAAGAAGGTTCAATTATTTATAAATATCGTTTAAAGATCCCCGTCATATTAAAAGACTAATATTTGAACGAAGAATATTCTTTTCGATAAATTCTCTTCAGGTTCTACAGTTATATATCCAAATTAATAATCCGAAAAATGGCCAAATTAAGGGTAAAGTACATCGTTTAGAGCATGTGAATTTAGGATTGTGATAAACAAAATACAATAAAATTGTTAATGTTAATATGACTCATATAAAATGTTAACTTGAATCTGCGTATATGTTAAATGAAATTTTAAGATCCATGATCCGAATAAATATGGGTCAAACAGGGTGAGAGAGAAATAATAGTGCAATTACAATTCGATCAAATAAGTAAGACGTAATACGGAGCGATGAATGCGAAGTGAATGAATCATGTAAAGGGGAGATTAACGATATTTAACCAATAGTACGAATAATAGTAATAATAATAATAATAATAATAATAATACAAAGATTTAAAACAATTAGTCCCTTTGATAAATTTCGATAATGATATTAGAAGACGAAGATTATCAGAACTATGTGATATATTAGCGCAATACATTTCGAACAATCTGGTCACACATATACTTGTTAAGAGCATTTATATATAAAAATAAAAGGTCAACTAGACAGGAAACGGAGTAAGAGGAGATAAGGATAATGATAAGAGTAATAATAATAATAATGTGAACACAATTTGAAACCTAATCACTCTGGATAATAAGTCAATATTACCAGGGTAGGTTTAAGGTAAGAACAAACTGTTTTTGAACACATAAAGGGGGTTTGAATTTTCGTATGGCTAAGGCTTCAATGAACCTTAGTATACGCCCTTTTACACTTTTATACAGCACTACAAAAGCTGAATTTAGATCAATCTTGTGACCTGTTTCAATTATATGTTTAGCAATAGAGGATGATGGATGTTTATCCTCTGCTCTTATCGGGTCACTTGATTGTATTTGTTTCTGAAGCCATTTGGGTACATGTTCACTCACCCTAATGTTGAGATCACGATTACTCCTCCCTATGTATGTGTGACCACACACACATTTAAATTGGTAAACACAGTGGGATGTGACGCAATCGTTTCCATGTACTTTAGGTTTTGAATGAAGCATGCACCTTGTTCTTTCTTTGATGATGACCTTTGCTGCGCAATAGGTTTTATTGATGACTGATTTAAGTCGTTGTTTCAGTAAAAGGCTATTTGAATCACCTCTGAATGGTAAGGTGATGTAGACAGGCTTTTTCTCTACCGAGGCTATAGTAGGTCTCGCTGAACCATGGACTTTCCATCTATTTATGAATTTCAGAGGATAGCCATTTTCTATTAACGTTTTATTTAACAACTTAACATCATCATCAATGGCGTCATTGGTACAAATACGGTCGAGTCTGTTGAAAAGACACCTTATCAAACCACGTTTGTATTGCACAGGGCAATAACTATAATAACTTAGATATTGACCTGTCCATGTTGGTTTTCTAAAAATAGATCGCTTTACTGAACCATCTTCTCGTCTACTCAGGAGTATATCTAGGAAGGGAAGCTGATCGTTTTTCTCCTCTTCACATGAGAGACTAATATGGTTTTGGAGGGTGTTGAGTTTATTTAATAAACCGTGCATATCCTCTTTTTTCTCACAAACAACTAAGATATCGTCCACATATCTCTTATAAAGTGACATGTTTCCGATTAATTCGTCAGTCTGATTTTCAACATGTGCCATGAACACATCTGCTAGTAATGGTCCTAGCGGACTACCCATAGCAACTCCATCAATCTGACGAAAGTATTCACCTTCAAAAGTGAACTGAACTTTGTCAGTACATAGTAATAGTAAATCTTTAAGAAGTTTTACAGGTCTAGTTGACCTTTTATTTTTATATATAAATGCTCTTAACAAGTATATGTGTGACCAGATTGTTCGAAATTTATTGCGCTAATATATCACATAGTTCTGATAATCTTCGTCTTCTAATATCATTATCGAAATTTATCAAAGGGACTAATTGTTTTAAATCTTTGTATTATTATTATTATTATTATTATTATTACTATTATTCGTACTATTGGTTAAATATCGTTAATCTCCCCTTTACATGATTCATTCACTTCGCATTCATCGCTTCGTATTACGTCTTACTTATTTGATCGAATTGTAATTGCACTATTATTTCTCTCTCACCCTGTTTGACCCATATTTATTCGGATCATGGATCTTAAAATTTCATTTAACATATACGCAGATTCAAGTTAACATTTTATATGAGTCATATTAACATTAACAATTTTATTGTATTTTGTTTATCACAATCCTAAATTCACATGCTGTAAACGATGTACTTTACCCTTAACTTGGCCATTTTTCGGATTAATAATTTGGATATATAACTGTAGAACCTGAAGAGAATTTATCGAAAAGAATATTCTTCGTTCAAATATTAGTATTTATAAATAGCTGTTTACGCAAGATACTCAACATCCATTGGCCGGATACCATCAGCAACAGCCTTCTGTAGGAGAGAACACACCAGCTTCCAGCTGAAGAGGAAATTAGGAAAAGACGATGGAAATGGATAGGACATACATTACGCAAATCATCAAACTGCATCACTAAGCAAGCCCTAACTTGGAATCCTAAAGGGAAGCGGAAAAGAAGGAGACCAAATAACACACTACGTCAGGAAATAAAAGCAGATATGCAAAAGATGAATAAGAACTGGAAAGAGCTGGAAAGGATTGCCCAGGGCAAGGTTGGATGGAGAATGCTGGTGAGCGCCCTATGCTCCTTCACGAGGAGTAACAGGCGTAAGTAGGTAGGTAAGTAAGGATGTATGTATACAGTTTAGTTCTTAATATGCCAGTCTAGTACATAAGTAATGTCAAAACAAGTTGCTTAACATGTGTATGTATAAGTGAAGAAAACACATCTTATTATTATCTATCATTCAGGCAACATATTACATGACCAAAATCACTATACTGTGATACTACTTAATAAAAAGATTCATACTTAGGCAAATTTGTACTATTAAACATATAAAAGAATAACAATTAGAAGAACACGTATTATTTCCAATGAGAAAACTGTGATACTACAGTTTAGAAGATGTAGATAAACAAAACATGAACAAATAGAAGAATGGATGAACTCCGATAATTCACACAAACGCAAATAAAAAGGCATTGAAATCATTACTCAAAATCATTGCAACAATATACTAAAAGAAAGTAAATGTTTAACATACTGATAATATACATTCTCATCAATTATGTCTACTGCGTGAACACCAACAGAAAGCTTGATAAAAACAGTCTCGAAATACTCGAACTGCATAGAAAATACAGACAGGATTTAGTTGATTGTAAAGTTGATGGACAACCTCCAGCTGAATATATGTCACCATTGGTAAATCACTCACTATTCAATAATTTCTTCATATAATATACGTAACGCTTATTTGTAGAAATGGAATTACAATCTGGCTGCACAAGCACAAAAATTGGCGGTCAATTGCACCTTGCAACACAACAAACGTTATTCGGATGAATTCTCTTGGGTTGGACAAAATATTGCTCTCGGTCCAACCATTAAGTCGTAAGCTCACTTCTATTCAATTCACTGTTTTCTGATTCAGAGGAGTAGATGCTTGGTTCAATGAGCACAAATTATACGACTACAATCACAACAACTGTATGGAATGTATGCATTACACACAAGTAAGTCCATTCTCATCCAATTCAACATACCCACAGTCATTTGCCACTCAACATTCACACCTATTATAATGCACCACGAATGTGTGATAACAATCAAGTGGTTTCACTTTTCTACAGGAGTGACTGAAAAACACATGTAAATACACGTAATCCGATGATTGCAGTTATGCACACAGGTATCCACAACACTTGATCATATTTGAGTATGTGTGTTTTGTTGAGAGTTGAGGTGATTCGTTGGAAAACAACAGATAGGAAATTTGTTTCTGACCAGCATGTACTAAGACTGACGAGTGCATTCAGATCTTAATCAATCTGTCAACACTAGTGTGAACACACAAACACAATATTGCAATCTACTCAACAGAAATTCATTGTTTGTAGATGGTAGATGACGATGTTGTGATGGATGAAATGATTTCGACTGTTGGTTGACATGAGACAGAATGAGTGGGAGAGTGAGAGAGAGTGACTGATTGATTGATTGATGGATTGAGTGTGTGAGTGAGTAAGTGATTGGTTGAGCGAGTGAGTGAGTGAGTGTTCTGAAGAATTTAACTTGTTATCATGACTGCACCATGTGTAAACTTACTCATTCAACACATACTGGAATTTCCACGTGTATCTCCTTCAGTTGACAACATTATCTCCATCATCTAGAAGTAATGTATTTACACACAGGTCATGTTGAAACATAGTGGAAATGCCTTGCAATTGGCCTACCGAACGATCACATTATTTCCTTGTTCACGTTCCGTTTCAGATGGCTTGGGCCAAGACCACAGACATTGGATGTGGAGTTGCGAGTTGTCCAAAGAACGGTCTATCAATCGTGTGTAATTATGGTCCAGGGTAAGTGATTGCTCTTGATCATGTGGGAAGAGGTGGTATTGTTTGCAATCACCTTGTTGTTGTTCTCATAGTGAATGTAACTGATGTTTTATATTGTGTTGACTGTTTTAGTGGTAATTGGAATAATGAGAAACCATATGAAGTGAAATCACGTGAATTGTGCCCAAAAATGCAGAATATTCCTAAAGGCAGTTTTCAAAAGACGCATGATAATACACAGCGTGCACGATTATCAATAGTGAATGTCAACCAGAAGTTGTCAACGACCGGTTCAAGTGGAAGTAGGGTTCACGACCAACGCATACAAGGTCAACCTACTTCTATAAATAGTTTTGAATATCGTCAACGTAATACACAGCGTAAATGGATATCTGGAACTAAAGGTCTACACACGTTTTCAAAGGACGTTCTTGGTGGAAGTGGTCTTGCCTATGTACAAGGACAGCATAATAATAGAAGAGTACGATACAGAAATTGATTGTATTTATTCGGCAAATACAATTGGTGCCTCCATATCTATTACACATATCTGTTTTCAACTGTGTTTTCACTTCTGTAACCCAAAACCTCCTCTCAATATATACTCATTACTTACTTCCATTGATATGCAGGACTATTTTGTGTTGATATTACTCAACTATATGTATGTGTGTAGCAATTAGTCATAACTTATAACTTATAATTGAATATATTTCATTCAATTCATATTGCTTTCTGTTCTGTAATTCATGTGGTGAGTGAGAAACGATGTTGGCAAGTGTCATTGGAATGATACATTGAATGAATACGTTCATTATGTGTTGATTATTTCATCTTTGTATGTGTATTGTGTATTGTGTGTTGACTGGCATTCACGTTTATTCAGCTCATCAATGTACCTAGTAACAATAATCACTTCATTCAATATTAAACATGTAATTCAACAGTATATCATTAGCTTACAATATATTTCAACTCAATTCTCCTATTCCCTGTACACAACATCTTTATGTCTAGTTTAATGATATTTTAGTTTGAGAAACTATGAATCTTTACAAGGATTAACTTCCTGATCATGCATAAGTATAGCGTTTCGGTTAAGTCAGTTTTGATAAACTGTTCGTCAGATAGACAACATTCCCCATAGAGTGGGAAATGCGTATGTTCAGTGAATGATTTGTATCTGATAATATACAACTTACCATTATTTGTTTACAAGTTAATGAAATATTTATGCATAAGCATGATTATCACAACGTCTGACAAGTGTCTGGATTACTCTTCTCAGTACAGTGAAATCGCTTCTTCAAAGTTAAGCAGCACAATAGGATACTAGATAACGTACAAGGAAAATTTATTTTGTAAAATTAGGTGTGTAGTAGTAATATCAACAGCGCGTGACTTCTTCACACAAACATTCGGTTAAAAGATTTGATATGAACAAATGATGAGGGGCGTGAAACAGACCAAATGCAGACTACACCATGATAGATGTTATTTGATGTGGTTTTCAATACAGAATATCGGAAATTACGAAGACGTGTCATTGCAGTACTGTGTTGATATGATTTTCATAGAATCAGTTAGATTGAACAGCTTCACATGTAGAATGATGTATTGTAACACTACTGAACATAGACAATCGTTATGTGTGTACTAAGAATTCATTCATTTCAGATCAATGAGGAGAGAAAGAATCAGGTTCCAATACAGTTATTTATTTCATTTACTTAACTTAACTGTATTTGTTGATGGAAGATCGAGTAAGCAATCAGTAAATGTAAAAGTAAACAACATCTCCATTAAAATCATCCACCTAGAACTGAATTCAAAACGCATTACAGTGTCAACAATATGCATAGTAGACACATATTGTGACATTCTACATAGATAAAAATAATGTAGAAGATTCAAAGGATGAACGATAAGGTAAATAAAATTATTGAATGTATCAATGTGTCATGCACTTGTCCATATTATTTGTGTTAAAAACAATGAGACTGTGGATACATAGGATATTTAGCTATGCTGTAACTATAATAAATGACTGGTACTTTGAATAAATTACCCATGTGGAAATAATTTCGAATTATCTTAGAGATTTACTGAGAAAATATATTTGAGACTGGATGAATACAATATCGCAAATTAACGGAAGTCAAATATGTGAATAGTTGGTACACAGCACATTTATCTAAAGGTTAAGTGCCCAGTGCACTATCTTAACGTCCTAGATTCCATTCGAAATGAAATCGTGACCATTAAGGTACCCATAGTGAAACGAAAATGGTAAGTAGTGCATGCTGGGTTCCACTGGTTTTGTAAATAAAATCAGTCTATGAGGTGAACATAAACAAATAAAACTAATATGGATAGAGTATCATTGATTCTTACATTGCCTTAAGTCTTCATCCATATGGAGCTGAAAACTAGTCTGATCTTCTTTCAGTGATAATATTTGTAGAGGCTATGATAATGTTATTGACTAGGTTAAAGAAACGGAAAAAAAACAAATATCCAGTTGGAGGTAACTATTTTAAAAGATGAGATCTGAACTTTTAAAAATACCAAGTGGCAGCTGAAAAGGAAATTAGGAAAATACGTCGTAAATTGAGGAAATCCTTTAGCTGCTTCAAGAGTCAAGCGATAACTTGGAATCCTGAAGGGAAACAAATAAGAGGACGATCAAATAGCAGACTATGCCGAGTTAAGTCAATAATTATTTGAAAGGAATGGTGAAATGTATATTTCGATAACTTGATAACAAGCAGCAAATGATCTACTTAGAGTGAAATTTTGGGCCACCACCACAATTGATTGATCACTGAGTGGTGATCAATGTCATGTGTGTCAAGTCCTTGTCAGTGCAGATCGAAAGCCTTCGATCAAGTTGCAATGTGGCCAATAGTCTAGGTGACTCGAGACTACGTGTACTATGTTGGTATAAGATGGTGGTTGAAGGTAGTCAACAGCAAAACCCTGAACCCAGGACTTGACACACATGACATTGATCACCACCCAGTGATCACTCAATTGTGATTACATCTCAGTCCTACAGGAAGTCGGTCACTGCCCGAATAGCTCAGTGGTAAGGTCTCTGACTGTGAAGCTGGGTAACACGGGATCGAACCAGTTCCTTCAAGATTACAAGTAGCACAAGACCTGGGTCCAAGATTTACTGTTTACTACCTCCAACCACCATCTCATCTCTCTACGCCACCATAGCAGACATCAGAAAGATAAATAACAATTGAAACCAACTGGAAAAGATTTCTCAGTTTAATGTTGGATGGAGAATAATGGTTGGCCGCTTATGCTCCTTGGCGAGGAGTAACAAGTGTTATACAATTATATGAATAAACTAAATAATTCAATTAAAACGATGAAAACTTTACGTTGAAGGAACCACATGTTTGATTTCAACATGGATTGCACAAAAAATCACAACCTAAAACTCTACATAAATTATTCTACTTATAGTGAACAAACAATCATTTTAATAGAAAGAGAACTGTCATTTCATATACATAGGCTGAAATGAAAATGCATAATGTGCCAAATCACATCATAACAATACGGTTGTTGTAGTTTTTTTTGGTTTTTTTTGTTTTTTATCTCTAAAAGATTCTATAAATTGTCTGTTATCCATACATCTCAGAGATAAAATGAATATCTTATTATTATTATTATTATTAATTTATATAAAAGTAAACATTGTCTTCTCACAACCAAATGATCCACAACTTCAAAAACTTCTACAATATCATAATGATCTTAGACGTAATTTAACAGAATGTAAATTTGAAGGACAACCTCCAGCGAAATATCTGCCAGATCTTGTAAGTTTATGTAACATGATCTATTATATGTTACATGTAAAATAGAAATGGGATAATGAACTAGCTTCAAAAGCTAAAGATTTAGCAAATGAATGTTATTTTCATCATAATGATGTGAATTTACCACATAAATGGGAATATGTTGGTCAAAATATAGCAGGATATCAAACAGTTGAACAGTAACTAACATTATCATTATTACTATTCTTTTCTTCATTCCTCTTAATCTTATTTTAGAGCATTCGATGCATGGAAAGATGAATATAAACAGTATAGTTATTATTCAATGAGTTGCTACGGTGTTTGTGGACATTATACTCAAGTAAATTATTACAAATAAATTAGAATTCATAATGACGCAATACATTTTACTTGGTATTTTTATTATGAAATAACTTTATATTTACTTTAGTAAAGTGTTAATGAGATTGCTGTAATATTAATTAACCACTATACTATACTATGCTATGCTCAATGTTATAGGGATAGGTTGGAAGAAAGCTAAGGGCAGTCAGACCAAAACATGGCACAAATCCATGAAGTCACTGACAAGTAGACTGAGCCATGTTGGTAGGTGTAGACTACCTGGTTGGGGACCAAGAGATGATAGAAACCGATGGTTAGAGACCCTGGATGACACGGCTCAAAATCGTTTACAATGGCGCAGGTGCATACACTCTTTGGGTCCTCCCAAATTTTAATCTCCCTATTCCTCCTTGTCTCTTTTTTCTCTCCCCGAATTTATTTCACTGGATTATACTCTTTGAATAACATCTCCAAACCGTAATCTTCTCGATTACTGCTTATACTCTTACTACCTCTACGACTATGGAATTTGAATCGACAACTGCATCTCTGTGCTAATGTGATATGGCAATTTGAACAGATGTTCGAACATACGAAGTTCTATGATGTTACTGACTGACTGACTGACTGATACCATACTATATATATAGTTATTACTTGTAAAACACTTTGAGTCTTACTACACATAAATTCTTATTCATTTATTCATTGAAATTAATGAAGTAAATGATTAGTTATATAGTGGTCATTGTAATGACATGGTCTCACTTCTAGTTAGATCTTAAATAGATACAGCTGAAGTTTTCCTTATTATTATTATTATTATTATTATTATTATTATTATTATTATTATTATTATTATTATTATTATTATTAAAGACAGATGTTTAATGTTACATCTATCCCTAAGTTTAATTTTTTATCAAAAGTTACATTAACACGAGTTGGGAGATCGCCAACGATAAATATATTTGTTGTCAATATCAAATTTTATTTTCTCACTGGCTATTCTTTATTTAACATTTCAAATAAGTTATATGTAATTTCAATAGTTGAGATCATGAGTCAATTGAAGCTAGACCACCATAGAAAACCTGGAAACACTGGACAGTCGTTTCGTCCTATTGTGGGATTCCTCCTTGGCAGTCTGCATCCACGATCCCGTCTCACGACATTCCAACTCAGGACCTATCAGTCTCGTGTGTGAGTGCTTAACCTCCAGACCATTGGGTCGACATCTATTTGTGTTAATGTCTAACTTCAACTAATCCACAAAAATGAGTGACACATCCATCATTGTCATCAGTGAGTTACTATCTCACAACTGACCCGGATGAACTCCACCCCGCGAGGTGGAGTCGTGGATACGCACTGATGAGAAGTCCTACAACAGAACGAAACCACCGTCCAGTGCTTTCAAATTTTCCATAGTGGTCCAGCATCGATTGATTCATGATTTCAACTAATGGAATTACTACAATCTCCACAAAACCCCTTTTGATACTTATATATAATTGTCTATTTAAACAAATCATCTTTAAATTATCAGTTCAAAATTTTTTAAATTAATTTTAGTTAGTATGGCAAAATACTACTCATGTTGGTTGTGGTATTACAAATTGTACCGGGAATTATGGATTTCCATATGGATTATCAGTTGTCTGTAATTATGGCCCAGGGTAAATAAATATGAATAATTAATATTAATTATTGTACTATAATTTTATTCTACTAAGTATTATAATAGTAATATGAAGATGTTTCTATTCATTAAGTTTCAAAGAAAAATTGAATTGATACATTCCATTGTATGTTATTTTGTGTTTTAGAGGAAACTATGAAGGTCGTTATCCTTACGAAGCAAAATCACAAGATGAATGTTATGCTGTAACTACTAGACGTCCTAAACCTACTAGACGTCCAGTTACTACTAAACGTCCTAGAACTACTAGACGTCCAATTACTACTAAACGTCCTAGAACTACTAGACGTCCTGAAACTACTAGACGTCCAATTACTACTAAACGTCCTGAAACCATACCAACTCGTAAACCAGGCATATCAAAACAAATACCAAAACCAAACTGGCCTACACTTATCAGTTCATGGAGTGGATTTGCCAATTCAAATATGCTACAAGGAATAATAACAAAAACATGTATTTGTATTCAGTGAAAAGTAAAAGTTACCCAAAACATTTAATATGTCACTGTTCTGTGTATTAACCATGTTGTCTGTTTTAAATAAAAATATAAACATTATTTAAATAGAGACACCATTTTTGTTCTTTTCTAAAACAATAACTGATTTCCAGTAATCGATTACGAGTGTAACTCTTTATTAAGAGATGATTTAGTATAAATGACTTGAAACCTTAGTAACTTATATGTATTCGACTATAGCTATGCATTAGTGCTAAAGTATTTAAGAAAAAGTAGTAACGATATTACACTGACTAGAAAATTGACGGTGAAGTAGAGAATGTAGATCCTGGTGTATGTGACTAACTTCAGATTGTCTTTAATAGCGTAGATGCTTGTGTATACACATCTCAATATTTGAATGAAATCATTTATGATTAAGCAATGATGTAGTTAAAATGTATCTGTCATTCTATGTAAGTGGAAAAGAAAACAAACTTTCATCAGTTGTCAGTTTATTTAGACATACTAGGGTTGAAGCTATCATGAGTTCACTTAATCTGCGAACGAGAACAAAGACTTGATGACCAAAGAGTAGTAAGTTAGCTATTGATGAGTCCCAGCCCCGCTAACTAGAGGGAGAAGTCCAAGCTTGGAATGGAGAAGTATATTCTGCAAACATATAGAAACGAGCGATAACAACAAACGCAATTCAAAACGTAGATATACAGTACAAAACCGTCTTTGGGGAGAATTACCAAATAGCATACTAAAAGACGCAACGGACCAATAGCATATAAGATATTTCCCAGTGGGAAATAAGACATGAAGGTGACAAGAGCACCTTTGGCGCGAAAACAGAGGAATTCAAATTTTCTAAATAAAATTACAAAAGTAGGTCCTTTCTCAAGTGAGTTCTGGGGATCTAACGTCCCCAACAAGACAAAAGTTCAACATAACATTTAACTCCCCTATCATATACTACTGAATTCTATACTCAAAATAAATCAACATTTATGTCAAATAACTATTCAAAAGTGTAACTATACCATTGGTAACATATAGTCATGCACGAGTTTATCCTAAATATTACTCGTTAATTATTTAACTTCCAAGTTAAGGTAGGTCAAACAATAAAGTTGAGTATGAATTACCAAGTAGATAATCTACTAAAATATATATTAGATATTACTATGGATATCAACAGTAATAGTTGTTACTAGGAACTTGTTACAAAGGTGTGATCTTTTATAAATATCCTCATGAACATGTATATTGAAAGTGAACAATTCATTGAATAATTTTACCGAAATGAAGTTTCATATAATCTAAATAAAATTACAACGGAATATCTAACTAATATTGAATCAGAAGCGGTTTTGTGGAGATAATAATCACCTGCTCATTAGTGACTGACTTCAAGAGATACTCCCGGAGTTTTAGTGAGAAGCCGTTACCGGTGGAGCTCAACCAGGTCTGTTGTGAGATATCAACTCACTAAAAACAATGGTGTACGGTGGCGCAAATTCGTGGATTAGTTGAAGTTAGACATTACCACTTCTTGGATGTCGGCTCAGTGGTCTAGTTAGTTTAGCGCCTGGCGCGAAACTGACAGGTCCTGGGATCGAATACCACGGGGTGCGGGGTCGTGAGTGCGCACTGCTGAGGAGTCCCATACTAGGACGAAACGGCCATCCAGTGCTTCCGGGTTTTCCATGGTGATCTAGTTTCAACTGATTCATAATTTCAATCAGTATTATTGAATCTTTAATTGATATTTCAATCATCTTCAATATATTGCCTTTCTGGATGGTTTTAAACTGAATATCAATGACCTAAAGATCTCTTTGTTGTGCAACAAGTTACCATAGTTTTAGATTCTATTAATGAAATACTTTTAATATCTATTTACTTTAAGAATTTAGAATGCACACGACTTGATTGTTTTCCCTTGAAAAATTGTTCATTAACTTCTGAACTGAAATACACTTTACTAGTTACATTATTACAAATGTGCCTTATCAGAACTTAACATATCCCTTACCTCAATCTTTGTATATAGACTTCAGAAGGAATACTGACTTATAAGGTAGTTGGATATAGTTTATAGCAATAAAAAGGACTTGAAATAGATTATATTTGCACTTGCATCCCAAAGTTGATGTTCACTCTGAGACCCAGTACCATTCGATTCAAACGCCATCGACTTATCCACTTACCTACCAAATTTTGAAAGTCACTAACCTAGGCAATTTGAAGATTTAAATCATTTTTGTTTTGGTTGTTTGAATCTTCTCATTGATGATATGACAAGTCCCGAACAGAAGAAAACGAGCGTCCTGGATTCTACTGATAATCATTATTCATATTTGGTTAAAATGATTCTGACTGAAAGCAATATGGAGACAATCTACACAGGATGCTTATATGCTAATAAGAAACTGGTTAATTGAAGTCCTAAACATCATTTGGAAGATTCAAACAAACAATACAATATTTTTAAACTTGATATTCAGCAAACATTTGTTTACTTTATTCAAATATAATAGTAATAATTTAAAAGCAATATTTAGTTGATTATTAATTTCTATGGAAGTTTGCATTCTTCAGCATCACTTATAATCGAACTGAGTTCAATTTATTATATTGTGTAACTACTTCATTGATGCGTAAAATTTCGATAAGACAAAACATATATGAAGGTTCAAATGAAATTGCATTTGAAATACATTAGTAATCATAAGAAAAGTAATCACATATTCAAAATATATCGTTCAGACCAATGAGGATATAAGTTACTTACTTACTTACTTACTTGCATACTTACGCTTGCTACTCTCAATGAAGCATAGGCCGCCGACTAGCATTCTCCAACACACTCTGTTTTGGGCCTTCTTTTCTAGTTCTATCGTATTGTTATTCATTCTTCTCATGTCTATCTCCATTTCTCGGTGTAATTTATTCCTTGGTCTTCATCTCCTCCTTTGGCCTTGAGGATTCCATGTGAGGTCTTGCCTTGTGACGCAGTTGGGTGCTTTCTTCAATGTGTGTCTTATCCACTTCCAGCCCTTTTTCCTGATTTCTTCCTCCGCTGAGATCTGGTTTGTTCTCTCCCATAGTAGGTTGTTGCTGATAGTGTTTGTCCAACGGATCTGATATATTCTGCGCAGGCAACTATTAACGAACACTTGTATCTTCTGGATGATGGCTTTTGTAATTCTCCGAGTTTCCGCTCCATACAGTAGAACTGTCTTGACATTTGTATTGAGGATGTGTCTACTTACCCAATAAACATGACAAAATATAAGACTTTAAAATAAATCTTCTAGACTACATGAAATGAGATTATTTGTGAAAAAAATAGGTTGATTTCATTGATATATAAAGTACTAGCACGTATTTTGTAGTGTACTACACAAAGTATAAACATTCAACACAGTTTTTTTTATTCTGTTTTACTAACAGTTTATAATTCATATGTTTCAGCAGGTTTATCTGTTTCAAACTTAGCTATCACTTTCGAGTGTTAACTTGTACTTATAATTGTAGAATCTAACGACAATTTCTATAAAAAGAATTGTTCTTTTTTATAATGGTTGTTTTTTTTACAAAATGGGAACTCCTAGAGTTCTAGTGAGAAGCCGCGACCAGTGAAGTTCAGTCCGTGTTAAATGTGAGACAGTTATCTAGATCAGACAATGGAAGAAGTGTTGTGCAAGATCATGGATTCATTGAAGTTAAACATTGACAACATTGGATACCGACTCAGTGGTTTATAATTTAGAGATTCGCGCACGAGACCAAAGACCCTGGGTTCGATTCCTGCATACGGGACCGGGATGCGCACTTCTGAGGAGTCCCACACTAGGACGAAATGGTCGTCCATTTCATCCATATTTTCAACATTGAGCTAGCTTGGGTCGACTCATGAATCCAAATGTGAAAATGGTAATAGTTCGGAAGAAGAATATTTAGTAATCGATTTCAAGTTGTATGAAAGCGATTTTGATATTCATTATGTATATTAAGAAGGAGACAACCAAAACTTGAATAAGTGATCGCTGTGCATACGTCTACGATTCGTGGTCGATATGCTAATCTGACGATATAGTGAAACAGCTTATAAAGTTTTCAATCAGTGGAATCCACAGTTATTGTTTTTCATGCGCCCGATAGAGATGGGTGGAAATGATGATTTTTGTGCCTTCTTTTATACGTATCAATTTAACTATATATATTGAGCAACTTGCGTCCTCCGATATTTTAAGAATTCATACGTATTTTCTTAATAAAACTTTTCAGATTGATTAATTGTTGAGGCTAAGACCATAAACGGTTTAATCTTACTATCAACATTACTTAAATACTTCGATTTGCTACCCCTCGTCGAGCAGCATGGGCCGTCCACCAGCATTCATCAACCAACTCTGTCCTGAGAAATCCTTCTCAGTTGATTCTAGTTGCTAGTTATCTTTTTTCGTGTCTGCTTCCGATTACCGAGATAGTGTGTCCTCTGGTCTTCCTCTTTTCCGTTTCCATCCAGGATTCCAAATTAAAGCTTGCCTCGTGATGCAGTTTGATGATTTCCGTAATGTATGTCTTATCCATTACCATCGTCTTTTCCTAATTTTCTTATAATCAAACATCACCAACTGTTCCAACATTATTCAATTGTTTTGTAACCATTATTTCATAATTCTTGTATTAATAATGCAAAATAAACTAAATTTCATTACAATTCTATATATTTTGCATACAACAAACGTCATTTTGATTTATTTTCAAAGTTGAATTCATAAGTCAATCTAAGCTAGACCGTCATTGAAAAGCTGGAAACATTGGATGGCCGTTCCGTTCTAGTATGAGAATGTTCAACAGTGTTCACCCACAACTTTCGTAATGAACGGAAACACAACGTCAGGGTCAACCAAATATATATTAACCCTAAGTTACACAGTTCTTCCATTAAAATGTGAAAACCACACATTCAATACTTCATTTACAAATCCTTCATTGAATGCCTCAAGTTTCATC